CTTGGCAGAGCAGCATTATTAATAAACATAGCCCTGTTTTGCATATTGTTTATGGTGACATTCTTAGGCTTCAAGAAAAATGAGAAATATAAATACTTTCTTTTGCAAACTAATGGTTCAAACTACAAAAAATTCTAGAAATGAAAATTTTCACTGCAGTGATCTGTGTATTCCCTGCATTCTTAGCAGGTCAAGGAACCTCAGTTCTGACAATCCAATGTCTGATGCTGTATTCTGGGTCTCCGGGTAAGCAGACATCTTATTTTGTGTCTCAGATGATGTGGGCTTGATCTTGGTCTTGCCTGGCATCTTGCTAAGTTTATATGCACAACTTTTGCTCTGCCTTTCTAGCTCATTCTTTTCTCTGTTCACTAAAAAGGCAGCATTGGCATTCCCCAGTGTTTTCCTACGACTTCCTTAGAACATTGAGGGAAGGTACTATAGACCATACTTACTAAGTATGATTTTATAGCTTTCATTAAATAGCAGTAGAATCTGTTTTGTTTTGTAAACCATCACAATGTATTCAATATGTAGGAAGTTTTGTGTTAATACAATGCCAAAATTGAAAACAGATAAAAGGTCATTTTTGTTGTTTTGCATTCATTATGAAAATTTCCAAAACCATCATTCAAAAATATTGCTTCTCAAATATGTTGAATTATTTGAATATGCTTGTTGCTGGCATAGGCAAATCTGAATTCGAATGTCAAAACCTACGTTTTTGTTGTTTGTCTACAATTCTCAGCAAAATCCTAGATAAAATCACATGTCAATAATCACAGGGAATAAGAAAATAATGTGACACAGTATCCTTTAGTTTTTCAAAACCAATTTGGTATTGATAACAATCTTGGCTTTTCCTTTTAGTGACTAAGTAGCATTATTAAAATTTTAATTCTGTGAAAGAATTTAACAGTGTTGACTTGATGTTAAGATTTGATTTACTTTTTTTAATATATGTGGAAATTAAAGAAAAATGACATATCAGGAAATTTTTATCAGGAAAAAATAGGCTCAAAAGATAGTCTTCTCAACAAATGGTGCTAGGAAAACTGGAAATCCATATGTAATAAAATGAAATTAGACCACTATCTCTTACCCTGCACAAAACTCAACTCCAAGTGGATCAAGGACCAAAGAATTAGACCAGAGACCCTGTGCCTAACAGATGAAAACATAGGTCCAAATCTCCATATGTCAGCTTAGGAACCAAATTCCTCAACAAGACAAGACTCCTAAAGTGCAAGCAGTAAAATCAAGTAGCAATAAATGGGATTTTATCAAACTAAAAAGCTTCTTTATAGCAAAGGAACTAAAAAAATTTACCCCCCCCCCAAAAAAAAATAACCCAATCAATAAATGGGAAAAGGAACTGAACAGACACTTCACAGAAGAAGAAATAGAAATTGTCAATAAATATATGAATAGATGTTCAACATCATTAGCAATTAGAGAAATGCAAATTAAAACCACACCGAGATTTCATTTTACTCTCAGAATGGCAACTGTCAAGAATACAAGTAACAATAAATGTTGGTAAGGATGTGGAGAAAAATGTACACCCATACTTGCGGTGGGAGTGCAAATTGGTGCAAACACTCTGCTAAAGCAGTATGGAGATGCCTCAGAAAACCTGGAATGGAACTACCATTTGACCCAGTTATCTCACTCCTTGTTTTATGCCCAAAGAACTTAAAATTGGCATATAATAGTGACACAGTCACATCAATGTTTATAGCAGATCAATTCACAATAGCTCTGCTATGGAACCAACCTAAGTGTCCTTTAACAGATGAATGAATAAAGAAAATGTGGTACATATACAGAATGCAATATCAGTCATAAAGAAGAATGAAATTATGGCATATGCATGGAACTGAAGACTATCATGCTAAGTGAAATAAGCCAATTCCCAAAACAAAACAAAACAAAAAAAAAACAAAGGCAGAATGTTCTCTCTGATATTCGGATGCTTACTTACAATAGGGGTGAGGGAGGAATGGCAGTTCACCTGATTGGTCAGAGGGGAATGAAGGGAAAGAAGGGGGGATAAGAATAGGAAAAACAGTAGAATGAATTGGACATAACTTTCCAATGTTCATATATACATGCCAGATGTAACTCCACATCTCATGTATAACCATAAGAATGGGAAGTTATTCTCCATGTACATATGATATGTCAAAATACATTCTACTGTCATATAACTAAAAAACAACTACAAAATGGGTTCATTTTTGTTTATATTTATGTGATTTTATATGCGATGGTATGTACATTTAATCCTTCCTGTTTACCTTTATATGAGTTTATAAAAGATAAGATTATCACTAATTTTTTAACCATGAAAAATTATGTTTAATTATGGGTTTAAAAGTTCAGGCAATAATGAAAAAAAGAAGGTTTCCTTCTATATTTACAAATATAAATGACAGTGTCCTTCAAAGTCCTAGAGTTTGTTTCTACTTAGAGTATCATAATGTCCCATTTAACCTACTTGTTTTATCTTCTGTTTCCAAGAAAAGTTTCAATAAGGTGTAGGAAAGATATTTAGGGCAAATAAATGCAGTTTGATAGAGAAACACTTGCCTCTTATAAATATAGTCTTACTGAGAGAATATTACGATTTGCATCTCCAGCAATAACACTATGTGGTCTTGGAAAACTGCTAGTATTATTACTTTTATTTGTTCATAATGCAGAATTTTAAAGGCTTGATCAATAATGTAAATCTTAAGATGATACATTATTCAAGTCAAGATGAAAGTTTTGCAACTTAAAAATAAGCAGTGTTTGGCTTCAATGTAACATTTCTTTCAAAGTATTGTAGCAGAAATTCTTGTCCAGAAAAAAACAAAAACAAATAAACAAACAAAAAGCCCACACACCCACACAATGAAGAAGTAGAATTTTAAAGAGTTTGTGTGTTGTCTCATTGGCTACTTTCTAGAATAAGAATTTTATGTATTCGTGTATATATGCATATGTATATATATGCATATGTGTGTTTATGTATACTATGTATTTGCATATATATATACACATAAATGTGTGTGTGTGTGTGTATTGCAATGAATCTTTTCCTAGATCTTATGCCTGCTTGCTCATAATGAATTACAAAGCAGCCATTGCAATGACCCTACTTCTGGTGTTTTCTGTCTGGTAGAAGCTTGTAAGTGAAGGTTCCTCACTGCTTGATTTAATAATACTATCGCAGACACATTATGTAAGGTGAGCTTGCTGAAACCAGCTGGTCAAGAACTATTGCATGCTCTTTTGAGTTTTGCATATCTTCGTACAGCCCATAAGTACAAAAACAGTTATTGTTGTCCAGGTTCATATAAGGGTTAAATTTGGAATTCCTGTAACAAATCACAGTAATTCTTTGGATGTTTCTTTCTTTCTAACACAATATTTTTGATGATCATTACTTTTGTGCAGCTTTCTAAAATTATTATTGCATCCTTACATTCTTAGTATTCATAGCACTACTTTTATTTTCTATTAATTATCAAATATTGAAGGCCCAAGAGCAGTCAGCAAGATGAAAGTCAAGATTTCTCATCATACAATCCCAGGTTAAAATTACATTCTGAAACATTCTGCTATAAGGACAAGTTCTTTTCTTCATCCAAAAAAGAGGGCTGAGTATATTTTAAAGAAGCATTAGTTATCTTTTGTCCTTATCTCTGACTTTAAAATGAAGTTAGCTTGTAAAAAGTTGTGCAAGAAAGATTACATGAAGTACGTGACCTTGAAGCACATAGTTCGTGTTGTGAAAGAACCCATGGAAACATACTTTAGAAACAGTAATTACCCAGGGATAACATGGGATATCTGTAAAGCAGGGGAAAAGGCAGATCTTACTTATTCACTATCAGTACAGCCTTTGGGGTGGGTGGTAAAGTGGAAGTGCTTGATAAATCTCCTATTTGCTTGTAAACACCTATTTGAAGGTGTGTGTGGGGAGGTATGTGCATGTGTGTTGTGGGTTGGTGTCTATATAAGCATATAGATTGATTGCTAGTATTCTACAGTCTAGACCCTTAATTGTAATTTCTTTCTATTTTAAAGAGGACAATAATAATTTATTTCTAAATGTCACCAGATTATTATGAAAATCATAAAGTATATGACTATGACTATGTAAACTATGTAAACTCTGAAGTACAAAAATGGGAATCCTTGCTATATAATATCTGCATATCTATACTCAGATAGATAGCAAATGGGTTCAATATCCTACCATCATCTCCTAATTTTGTCCTTATAAAATAAAACAAAAACATAGGAGTCATCTGCAAATGAATGTGTAACTCAATGCATTCTGATAAAGTGAATACACTTGTAAACACCACTTGGGGCAAGAAATAGAACCTTACCAGTTGTCTCAGAAAGCTCCTTATTGATGAATAGATAAAGAAAATGTGATTATATATATATATATATATATATATATATATATACACACACACACACACACTCACACATATGTACATATAATGTAATATTACTCAGCCACAAAGAAGAATGAAAGGTATACCATTGGCCAGTAAATGGATGGACTTGAACATGCGAAGTGAAATAAGCCAATCCCAAAAAATCAAAGGTCAAATGTTCTCTCTGATATGCAAATACTTACACACAATAAGGTGAAAGGTAGGGGAGATGGAGGAAAGAATAGAAGTTCATTGGATTAGACAAAGGGAAATGAAGGGAAGAAAACGGAGATAGGAATAGGAAAGACAGTGGAACGAAGTAGATGTAACTTTCCTATGTTCATCATATGAATACAGGACCAGTGTAACTTCACATCATGTACAATCACAAGAATGGGATCAAAGTTAGAATAAATTGTACTCCATGTATATATAATATGTCAAAGTACACTCTACTATCATGTATATCTAAAAAGAACAAATAATAAAACAAGAAAGCTCCTTGCTGTGTTCCATCCCAGTCATAACCCTAACAGTCACCCAAAATAAGCACTACTCTGATTTTAAGGTGATTATTTTATTGCATTTTTAAATAATTTTATCTCCCAATTGTGCATCACTAGGTACAATAGTTGAGTATTACCTATCTTTGTTTTAAAGAACTGTCTTTTAATCCTTTATTAATTGACTAGTTCCTTCTTCCATTCCTTTCTCTTTTTTCCAGTTCTGTTGAAGAATCTTCATAATTCCCTCTGGAAGTTTCCCATAGTCTGGATTTTGGTGACGTCGTGATCAAACATAGCATGATTTGTCCATTGTGTTTCCTGCTGATTGACAGGTGAAACCAAATTTGTGTTAAAATGTGTTTATCAATTTGGCAAGGTTACATTTAATGCTGGGTTTATCAGAATTGGTTGTTTCACCTAGATGTTACCAGCCATTGATGCTCAATGCCTGGATCTTTTAGGTTACCAGAAATTACAAAACAGTAATATTCATAAAATTTCCCTTTCATGTACTACCTGAAATAATTTCACAAAGAAATGACTTCCCTATTATGTTGTTTGTTAACTGCATAGTATAGTTTGTATAGGAAAGCCAAGATAATTACTTGATTATTTTCCTTTTATGTACCAATTTCCAAGATAATGAATTAAAAGTGTTATGATTTTGAAAATTAAATTCTTCCATGGATACCTATCTGATTGGTCTAAACCTTTCTAACATAACCTTAGTATTTATCAAGTGTTCCAGATTTGCCCTCTTTATTTTCCCCTTCACACTTGAAATTATCTATTTTTCATTAAAGCTTTGATTTCTTTAAGTGGCAAGTCATATTTTAAAATCAAAATCTAACTGCCCAGAACTTGTAATTTTTTTTCCTCTGGGTGTTTTTATTGAACAGTTACAGGGAAATGCATCTATATCTGTTTATGCACACTACTGTGTCTCTTTATTCTCCCACACTTTAATCTAGATTTTCTCTTTTATTTGTATCTTCTGCCTGTATCTTATTCAATTTTGTCTCCACTCAGCAGTTTTTTTTTTTTTTCATTAGGTGCCTTTTCTGGAAAAGAACTTTACCTGATTGGTTTTGCAAGTTCGTTTATCTCAGACTACTCCAATCCTTTCAGAAATTACCACATATCCTAGGACAGGGAGAATTCTAGAGATGACCCACAAAATTTCTATTAAGTAGTTATATAACCAGACACTAATCTAAATACTTTTGAAAAGGAACCCCACAGATGTGGTTAAGGTTATTAAGGGACTAATTTTAAAAATAGGAAGATTATCCTGAATTTTTAAGGTGAACTCAAATCTAATCACAACCACCTTAAAAGCAGAAAAACTTATCAAACTTGAACCCACAGAGGTTCAATAGGGGAGAATTTAGATGTATTTGAAATATGAGAAGATCTGATTTGTGATTGCAGTCTTTGAAAACAGAGGAAGGAGACGAAACCAAGGATATGAGCAGTTTCTAGAAGCTGAGAATGACTCATGGTCAGTAGTCAATGAGGAAGTGAGGAATTTACTCCAACAGTCACGGGAGATTCTGCCAGTAAACTAAACCAGACAGGAAACAGAGTCACCCTTGAGAGTCTCCAGTAAGGAAGTCAGCCCTTCAAACGTCTTGATTTTGATCACGTGGATCTGGAGTAGAGAAATATCTGGGCCTATAGGATTTTGACCTACAGCTCTGTGGGATAATAAGTTTTTATTATTTTAAACCACTATGTTTGTGATGTTATAGCAGCAACATAAAACTTAACAGAGTTCATGTGTTGCACTGCTAGTTCACACTGCTGTTCTCAAATTATACCATTGTCCTTTAAAATAACATTATGAGCTATTTGGATATTCTCTTGAACTGACATCATTAAATGTTATGCTACCTCTTTCTGCTTCTTCTCATGTAGACTCTGATACAATCTAGGTCTTTTAGCTGTTGGGAATTTGTTCCTTGAACTTTGTGTTTTGTGGTTCATAGAAATACCTTATAAACTAGTTTTGTTGTTAAGGTTCTCCAAAAGTTTTCAGTTTGTATTCAATTGCTTTGCCTGGTTTTCTATAGGGATTCGGAGATATTAAATTCTGAGCTGCTGCTTCACAGAATCCATCTGGCCCTACTATTCGTGTTAGCCTCTGACTCTGACCAAAAGCTGATCTCCTTTTATAAACATTTGATCATTAACCTCATCTGACCTGTGCCTGACAGAAATAATTTACCTCACCACTCTCAGATCTTTTGATCTTCATTGCCACATACTCTTTGTGTATACTTTGAAAATGGCATTTGATTGCTCCTTGCTGAATGATATTAAGCATTTCTAGGCTTTTAATGACTATGTTTACTGTATGTTAGTCACTTTCTAGTTATGCTTGGGATGGTGTACAACACCCATCAGGCATTTCATATATTAGGTGAAATCTATGAGCCTAATCCACATTTTAGTAGCTCAAGAGAAATTTCAGAGAATCTCAAGGAAATCCGTTATGAAATTTTTTGCAACCAATGAAATATTTGGTAATGGTCAACAGAGAGGAAGAGGAATATACAAAAATATCTATGTATTCCTTAAATTTCAGAAATAATGATGAACATACTCCATTCATAATAGCAATGAAAAATATACATGACCATATAAGAGACTTACCATAATTATTTTAGTATGTACATTGCATTTCCTTACAAAGTATCAAAAAAGAATATCTAAAAATGGGGTATATATGCTTTTAGTTAGTTTTCTGTCATGTAACAAATATTTGAGATAAACAACCTTTCAGGAGAAAAGGTCTATTTTGTCTCAGTATTGGAGATTCCAACCCATGATTGGTTGGCTCCTTGCTTTGAACCTGTGGCAAGGCATCATGGTCGGAGCACATGATACTGTAAAACTTCTCCTCATGGCCAAGAAACAAAGAGAGAAAGAGGTAAAGACTAGGTTCCCATAATCTGCTTCAAGTGCACTTCCTGGGTGACCAAAGGACCCACAAGGCTCCATCTCTCAAAGTTTTTTATTGCCTCCCAATGGTGTGACCTTGGGGACTCAGACTTTAATATCTGGTCCTCTGTGGGACCTTCAAGATTCAAACAATAATAGATTCCATGATCTTGAATATGACTTATGTGTTTGAAATAATACCACATAAGTACTAAAATGAAATGTAGGGAATATGTATATTAAGGTAAGAAAGACCTATCTAAATATACTATCAAGGGCAGAAGTCATAAAGAAAAAGATGGAAAGATTTCATCCTCACGTCCTATCTCCCTCAAAGTAAAACTAGACTTTTGTAAATTAAAAACCAATGTTAAAATTTAAAAAGAAAATAAGTCAAGGAAAAAAATTATATATATGAAGTTTGGTATTCTTTGTTGGTTATAGTATACGGTGTACTTATTTTGCTTAGTCTAGATATGTTTTGGAAAAAAAAAGCAACTTATTCATTAAAATACAAGTACACAAAATTCTGAGAAATTTTCCCTAAAATCATCATGGATCTAGGAAAATATTTCATTGTAAATATATTAATTACATATAATTCACAGTTTACCAAATTGAAAAAAAATTAGAAAGGCAAAAAATTTCCTAAAATATAGAATTAATTATAAATTAATTTATGCTTCACCAAAACTGGGACATACATGTATCAAGCACAAATATGTTGGTATGTATATCTATAAGTATATGGAATAGAAAGATGTGTATAGTAATATAAGATGGCAGAGCAGCTTACAGGAAAGTGCACTAGATAATGTTTTTATTAAGGGAAAAAAAAGTGCTTTATTGAAGACAAAGTTCTTACACTTTTCACCATTTAATATATTTAACTCATTTTAACCTTTGAAATAAATAAATAAATATATATATATATATATATATATATATATATATATATATATATATATATATATATATATATATATAAATGAAACCCTCTTTGGTATCTTTCCTGTTTGTGTATGCCACATACTGGATAGCTGTTTTTTGTATTCTACTTCCCTTTCTATAGAAAGATATTGCCATTTTTAATTCCTCATTAGTAAAAACTTTTCATATTTTAAGTAATTATTTAATTATAATGATTGTATGCTTAAAATAGCATATTTATAGCTATCTAATCATCTTATACTAAGTAGAACAACACTTCATGTGAAATAATTAAAAGGAAAAAACCCCACCTAAATAGAAACAAACAAAATATTTTGAGCCAATTGTTGCTGCTAATATCTGCCTGTTGTTTAAAACAGGCAGTTTTCAAATAATAAATGAAAAACATAAAGACTTATTATGTAAATATATAGGTGAAAAAGTTTTTAACAAACTTATTACCTCACTTGACATGGATCTAAAACTTTTCCCTCCAGTGACTAATAGTAAAGATTCTCTAGTATCATGTTCTCCAAATTCTAGTACTCTACCCAACCAACTGAGCATGTTAAAGCAGAATTTGACTCACACATAAATATTCATTTTATGTCAGCAAACTACATTGAGGCAAAAAAAAGAAAAAAATATTGAGTCATTTTTCAATGCTAAACAGGAATATATTTTATTAATATGAAATGGGTCAAATTTTATCATTTTGTTCTTGTCTAATATTTGGATAACTGCCAAAGGTTTCTATTTATGTAGAGACAGTATCAAGTACTGGAACAATCTTTGGAAGGAGTCATAAACTTTTCATTCAGAAAAATTATTAAAATGTTTAAACCCATTTAAATCATTCATTTAGCAAAGCACTTGAGGAAAACTTTTGCCTTTTCTTAACTTTAAATTAAAATGGGGTTTCAGTTTGAGGTCATGCTAGTCTCATAAATTAGGATAGGATATATTTCCAAAAAAAAAAAAAGATCACAAACAATATTCTTCTTAAATTTTTGGAACAATTTCATCAGTAAGAACTTCTGGGCCAAAATGTTCTTGAGAAAAGCAATTTAACTGTAGATTCAAATTCAGAGTTTCTTTTTGTCACTATTATGCCAAAGTATTTTTAAGAAATTTTTCTTTTTTCATTTAAATTATCAAACTTGCTGGCATAAAGTGATGGATAGTGTCTCATTATGTTTTCAATGTCTAAAACCTTTCACTGATATTTTTACATTCATTCCTGATATTAGTAATTTGCCTTTTCTCTCTTGTTTTCTGGATTATTTTCTTTAAAATAGCTTATTAATATTATTGATCTTTTCAAAATGCCTATTTGGTTTTGTTGATTATTGGAAACCTATTTCCATTTCACTAAAATTTGCTCTTTTGTTTTTTATTTTATTTCTTTTTTTTTTAATTTACTTTGAAATTCTCCCGAATTACTT